ACTAGACCTGAGGACTCTTACTGCCTGCGGTTTCACAGAAAACAACTAGAACTCCTAACAGAAAATCCCCCTCTTACCTTTCAGACTGACTGATTAGCATTAAATACTTGAATAACTCATTTTTAGAGCTGTGGCATTTATGTTCAATGTCCTCTGCTACAAGCCAATTCTCATTTGAAACAGTAGCTAATATTCATAACCTAGGGAAAGCAGCAACCATATGAATCTGGTTGATGTTATGCATGCTTCAGTATTAACTGGTCTAACTAGTTCAGCTGCATCCAGTCGTGCTCATAAAAAGAAACCATTCCTGTACAAGGAAAGGTGCCAAGGGTGTTGATTTTGGGTTGCAAAAGGGAAATGTCAGAAATTTCTCATCATCTAATACTTTCTCCTCACATGTGATATTCTGCCCAATGACAGTAAAGCAGATCCCTTCCAGTGTGAGGAGACCATTGCTGTCAGTCCAGTCAGCAGAACATTGCTCATCACTGCCACAAGGCCTTTGCCTCTGGATGGGAGGGCAGAGAAGACAGGGAAGCTGCGAGTTACAGCTTTTAGGAACGCTATGTACGTACTTGTTGCATCAGCTGTTTAACATCCGATGATCACATCAATAGGATTAGACATGACAGTAAGACAGCCTTGTCCATCAAGTAACAAAGATCACACTTATCCAGCAGAACTACAAGGCAGGAGGATCCACAATATGTAACTACCTTTTTGGGCCTCAGTTGAGGAAGGTACCTAAAACATGTGTTTGAAATTGGAAACCCTACACAGGAGTTCCCCCCACCCCCAGAACCTGTGAAAGTCTTCAAAGATCATCCTGAAGCTCAAAATAAAACCTTAGGTTAAAGTCTGCCTGCAGCATTTTTTAAATGCCCTTACTTCAATCTACAGGATTCTCCCTTAGCAATCCCCAAATTTTGCTAGAAATTTCAAACTTGAACTTCCATCTACTGAAGCAGGTCAGATGAAATTAGTGGAGCAGATTTCCTTTTCTTTCAAGAATAACAACCCATTTAAACCATGGGCAAAATACTGATATACAATTAGGAGCTTTTTATGAATGTTTACATGTATGTATACATTGCATTGATTTGGATTCCTGTGGGGAAATAACTTTCTCAAAGTAATCTCTTAGGATAATAATTTTAAGTAGTTAATTACATAAAACTCCATGAAATACTTCTCTCCTCAACTGTGCATTAGGGGTAAAATAACATACCTTTAAAAACTAGCCACATCAGTCCTTGTTCATGTGGAAACAATACACTGAATTGTTTAGCTTTTCTGTGTGTCTTTTTTCCCCCTTTTCTTTTTTCTTTAGTAAAAAAGTCTCATGCTAAAAGCCTGCAAGTCTCTTGGAAAAGACAATTCCATGAGAAAGTATCTTAAGCATAAGCATAATCTCCCCCCCCCCCCCAAATTTCCCCCTCAAATTTCCTGTCTACAGTCCTGTAATTCTGCACAGTCAATGGCTTAAAAAAAACATACATGAAGTGAACAGTCAGGAGAAATAGATACTTATTAGAATTATGACTTTATTTTTATTCACTAGAGCAACATTGAGGAAAGGATTTTTACATACAGGTTTTTAAATCAACTTTACAAGCAAATTCCAATATACAGTATTTACTCTGGCCTGGGTTAAAAAACAAAAACAACAAAGCAGATAGTAAGGGTACCTCCTGTTTTAGCTAGTATTGAATTTAAGATTTCACTGACACTGGGATTATACTGGTTTTATTGTGGTGCTTTTACAATTAAGTAGGCAGTGAGCAGCTTTACCACAACAGTGACTGAATTTCCTTGATAGCATAGTTGTAAGATTACTATACTGAGACCAACCACCAGGATCATGTATTAAATCCACTCTGCTCAGAAAAAGCCACTATAACGGGATAAGAAATAGCTACGGAAGCCCAATTCAAGAACAGATTTCCATTTGTATGGCAAGAAAAATATCCATATTAAGAGGATTATGTGCTGTGCAAAAACAGAAATACTTCCCCCCCAACATGCAACCTATCCAAGTTTGATACTTTAGAATGTGCATATGGTTGTGACATGCAAACAAAGTAAATCACGCAAATGGTATTCAGTTTCCTAGCATCGTTACAACAAATCAGCATTTAGATCAAGGATGAAATGAATTTTACTGACCTATGATGCAGTCTACTTGCTATGTCTAGTCTCACCGCTATGAGATTTAAGTTGAGGAACCCACTCTTTTTGGAACTATATGAAAAATTCAGGGCCATTTCAGATTTTCAGGGCCTTTGTGATTATTTCAAGAAAGTCTAAGAGATAATATTGCACTTCTTTTCTCAAACAAAAACATATGCTGGGAACATTATTCTTTCAGAGCTATGCTAGTCGTAGGGAAGTTTTGCCATCGGCCTTGATTGGCAGTAGGAAGCGCTAGCTTCAGGGAAGGTAGTAATCTGGCTGCATCATCAGTGTTAAAATTCCACAGTTTAAAGTCATTGCACAACAAAAACTCAGTACACTATATGAATATGTTTAAACATGCTAGAGTGCATATCGATTCTGTGAAAGTGATGTGAAGATACCTTGGAAACAGCAACAATAGCAGGGAAATTAGTTTCAAACAAAAGCCACACACAGCAGGAGGCATCTAGATTATTTTAGGCACAACTCCAAGCAATAAAGCTTATTTAAAGTGCAATTCTGTTTTTTTCTTTTGTGTTTATTCACTTGTTAAAATGCATAATTGCCTCTGTACACACATACTGAACAGTAGTTTAATACTTTTGTGAATATTGCACAAAAGAATGAGAAATCAAAATGAAAAAAATGGCAGTAAAAGTTTTAGAAACCTAAAAAAACCCTGAAGATATCAAATCCTTTAATCTATACATTTAGGATAATCTGCACCAGTACTGATGATATATCTGCACCTTCCATAAGGTAGGTACGTAACCTGAAAATACTTAATCCCATTTGACAAGCTCTACACAGTGCCCTCTTATCCGTCTCCCCCCAGCCCCCATCCTTCACTGAAGTGAAGCTTCAGACTTCACTACTTTTCTTCCAGTTGCCCATCTACTGACAGGCTTTGCTCGTACTCTGGACCTACTATACATGCAACAGAGCCTTCCCTCGTAAAGTCTGAAGAGCCAAAATACGTAGTTGTCTTTACAGGGATGCGAGGTTAGCAGCTGAATGCTAATACAATTCAGGCTAGCATCTGTCTCATCCGTGATCAAATCCTACTGTCTCCAGCTCAGTGTCTCACTGATCTGTCAGAACAAAATGGGGAAATGCTGTAACAAAGAACACAATCTACTTACACAGCTTTAACTCAGAAAAAAACCCCACAGAATAAATGTATTTTTGTTCTTCTGGGCCAAAAAATTAAGATCTTCCTTTTTATGAAAACCCTGATCATATCTTTGTTTTGTTCCTTAATTTTCAGTAAAGGTGCAGACAGATAGATATCTATAGTTTTAAATGTAAACATAAAAATTTTAACATCACTAAATCAGGCTGGTGATGCCTCGAATAAGAAGCAAAAAAGAACTCATGGTGAAGTATCTCTGTCAATAGCATTAAGCGAAAATCATCTTTTTACACAAAATCATATACAACTAAAAATAAAACCAGCTTCTCTTCAAGGAAAGTAAACTTAAAAAACCACCTTTCATAGAAATCTATATGGACCGGAAAATGAACCGGGAATCTGATCATTCCCTCAGCAGTTTTTAAGCTCCTGAGAAACAGTTAGCTGCCAGGAGCTAGTTTTGGGGAATATAAAAAGTCAGGGGTTTTTTTCTTATCAAAAGTAAATGCTTACACTGAAGGCCATCTAATTCAATGCTTTTCAAGGAAAGAAAGAATTTTTCATAGAAATCTATATGGACCGGAAAATGAACCGGGAATCTGATCATTCCCTCAGCAGTTTTTAAGCTCCTGAGAAACAGTTAGCTGCCAGGAGCTAGTTTTGGGGAATATAAAAAGTCAGGGGTTTTTTTCTTATCAAAAGTAAATGCTTACACTGAAGGCCATCTAATTCAATGCTTTTCAAGGAAAGAAAGAATTTCTCCTGGAGAATAAATGATAGAGCAATATTGAATTCTATTTATTTTGATCCTATATCAACTGTAACAATTAATGTTACCCTTGTTACTTCTTGCTTACATTGTCTTTGCCCCAGTTAACAGGGAGTCCTCCTGCAGGTCTCTTATTTCAGATTGATATAAGCAGTTCTGAAATGGAACCTCCCCCCTACCCATTTTCCCCCCCAAGCTTTTCATTTTTCCACTTCATTGTCAGTTAAAAGAATTTACAGTGTGACAAATCAAAAAACTTTCTTCAATATTAATTATGTACTGAGAAATTCAGGTGAGATTTTTATATTTTTTCCTTCTCCCATCCAACTAAGGTCTCCATCAGGAGACCCCTAGTTAAATGGCTTATATTACAGAAGTTTATTACTGAACTTACTTATGAAATGTCTATACCTATTCACTTTAATTCTCTCAAAGAAAATACTGTAATATGTCCACATCCTATAGCCAAAGCCTAGAACACTATGTTTCATTTTACTGCCATTACACGCTGTTCAGGAACAGACTTTGAGCAAAGTTATTGCAACAGCCTTCTGCTGCTGATTTTAAAACCAATTCAAGAACAGAAAAAAAAAAACCCCAATTGGTAACATCCAAGAGACGGTGACGGGAAAGAAGGGAAGAATTGGAGATGGGACGTAACATTAAGTTTCTGGAAAGCTTCACTGGATATTTAACTTACAGCACGTGGGTCATGGTCCCCTAGTTGCACCATGATGGGCATATATTTCAGACCACTTTCAGAAAAAATACTTCTCCTAGAGAGCAGAAATTTTTTTTTTCTTTATTTCCCCAAAAAGCTCCTTCCCAGTTATCATGCACTTCTTCAGAAATTACAAAAAAAAAATTTACAAAAAAACCCAAAAACAAAATACACATCTCTGAAAAACTCTTAAGAAAAAAAACCCAAAAACAAAAGACACATCTCTGAAAAACTCTTAAGAGTACCAGCTCTGGATTAGGACATAATAGGATTGCTCAAAGCAAGTAAGTGGGGTTAATTTTTTTTTTTTTAAATAGTTGCTTTTTTAATACAAGTTTTATTCTGTAAAATACTTTCAAATCCTTACATATATGGCAAAGTTTGTGCAAAATTTCAAGTCAGGTACTTTAGAGTCTTTCAAATATTAAACAGAAACCAATAAATACAAGTAGCACAATAAAAATTAAAAAATATTAATTAAAATGCATGTTGTGCAACCTCGACATGGGTGTTATGGACCCCTTAATTCCCAGAGGCTCCGTACTTATCAATTCATAAGAGCCTGTATTGGAAGGTTTTGCACAAGCATCCTTAGCACTGCGTTTCAACAATCTACCCGGTAACGTGTCTATTCAACACAATAAAAATCATACCACAATTTTTTAACAAATGATGATGTTTAAAAGAGAAGATTCTTTTCACCCTGTGAAATCTGCTTATTGTCTGTGAACAGTGAAAATGGGATAAATAAAGAACAGAGCAACTTCAGATTACAGCAAAACAAAACAACACAACCCACCCAACCCATCAGAACACAACGCACCCAACCCATCAGATTAAATAACATTAAATATTTCAGTCTTGAGATAATGATAAATACAAGGATTTTTGCATAGGCCTCTGGAATACAGAGTCAGAATTATGGCCAATAAAACATCTGCTAGTAAGTCTAATTTTCCACCACTCTAACCTAACGAGTACTCAGAACCAAGTAGTTAACTGAATAGTAATTTCATTGACTAATAAATCAACAGAGGTAAGAAATTATTTCTGCCATCCTGAAACACATAGTGCAGCATTCTGGAATTTGTGGTCACCACAGCCTTCAGTATTTGCTTAATTATTAAGATCATTGGGCAATACAATCTTTAATACAGACCTACGATATAATAAAACACTCCCAAGAGAAGCCGCACAAGCTCATGAGCCTCAGACCGTACGAGGATGGAGTATGCAAACACTAAAGAAAGATGATATTTTTAATATTCACTCAGGATTTGCAGGCTGTAGATAGAGCAGCCTCAAAGGCAGTCAATACACAGGAAGTAGTTTAATGTATGGCATCATTCAATGAGATGTAGGTATGTTCTCAATGTGTCTTTGGTTTAGGGAGGCGGGAATGCCGATTAGAGGGTAAACTATCCCCAGCATGCAAACCGGTATTCTGTGTTTGCACATTTTCCTTTCTCTGTACCAGTGGCTTTGGGATGTTAGTCTTCAAACAGGTGTTTTGAGGCTCTGCAGATACTGGTGTGGATTTCTGACTGCTCATTTGCTTAGATTTAACAAAAGACATAGTTGGTGGGCGAAGTTTAGACACTTTCTGACTCTGTTTACCCTTTAGGTTATCCTGACCAGATGTTGGCTGTAGCTGAGTCGAACTACTTGATGGTAGAAGCTCAGGTTCCTTGAAAGCAGCGGAATGATTTGCAGATTGTGTAAGAACGGCCATTGTTGGAGGCACTAAAGCATTTGGGGGCTTTGCGATTCTTAAAGTCTTTGGCCAAGAAGCCTGGTTTGTGAATGAGGGCTGACCTTTCACAGCTAATTCAGTATGCACCTCTCTAGCATCAGCTCGCGTAGAGGTCTGGAAACAGGAACGAGGTGGTAATGTACCTTCTTTATTACTAGCCACCTCTCCAGGGTCTTCAGTATTCTTATTTTTCAAATTTTCCAAATATGATGCATTCTCATCTTTTATGTTTAACTGTATGCTCAAAGTGTTTACATCACTCAGGCTATTTGTGAGAGAGACATTTGCAGCATTTTGATTCTGATGATTGCTATTTTCATGCAGACCATGTTTAGGATATTCACTGTGGGCCTCGATATGTGGCATTTTTATTAGTTTTCCCTGGGCGAGGTCTGTGGAACTGGGAAGGCTGCTGGAAGGCTGTAGTACTTGAGGCTGTTAAAGAGAAAAGAATACAGCAATATATTAGGCAAAGAAAACACCAGATAACATTCCGAATCCAATGTGCGCTGACTGGATGCTTGATAAGGGCTGTGTATCTGTTTTTTTAAAATCAAAACTTTGACTTTGGCAAAACAGGATGGTTCATGGGACATGTACAAATGTGACTTGTAAATTAAGTGGAAAAAATATACTAGCACTGAAATACACAACAACGTAAAGACAAAAAAAGAAACTGATCAGCTTAAAAAAGAAACATGAAAGAGGCATGGTTGATGGTTTCACCTAAATCTGCAGGACAGCGTAAGAGTGGCACATGAGTACTGATCAATTCTGATGCAAGTGCTTAAGAAACAAATGCAACGGCTATCAGACTGTATCCATCTTTTAATTTCTATTCACTGCATACTCAAGTTAACTATCCCAAACCCTTAATCAATGTTCTATACTGTACAGGCAGGAAAGGAGTTTAATGGACCACATGAATTTACAATACATTTTCCTTGCCTTAAACAAGGTCAGAAAATTTGATACAGGTATGTTGTAATTAGGCTACTGACTAGACTTAGGTAACTTTTATCTTGAATGGATTTCAAATGGGCTGATAAAGAAACCATCTTCAACAAAGCAGTACAACAGAGTACACATAAAGCTAGAGATCGTATACTACTACACTGATAACCAAGGGATAAAGATAACTTAATGAAGATTTTACATTTTATCAGAAGATACATGTCTGATCAGACAAGTATCAGACAAGAGAATTGCTGGTACCTCTTCCGGGTCATTTCTATTTTCTCTTTGCTCTTCCCTATGAAAAGACTTTAAAGATTAACGTATGCACTAGCTTCACAAACACATCCTAGACCTGCAACTTGTATAACAGATCTTGGAAGAATTATTAAAAATTCTGCAATTCATGGCAAAATCCCAAACCTATTAAAACCTAAACTATAGTTTTAGCAAGTTTCAGGTTTCGATGGTTTTCTCATTTTCTTTATAAAGGAGAGGAACTGAACTACTACAAGCTAGTCTTATCCCTACACTACTTGAATTCTTACCAATTGATAAATTGCATGTACATAGTCAACAGGCTTATAATATTTGTTTACTAGAGAAATATAATCAGTGAAAAAGAAGCAATGTTTGTCTTTAAGAGATTTGACTAAAAATGTCACTTCAGTCAGTCTCTTGAACTATTCACAACTTCTAAATGAGAAAGCCAATTATTTGTCTGGTCTTTTTAGCTCTTCTTAGAATCAGCAGGAAGAATGTAATGATAACTGTGCATGCCAAAGTCCTGTTACATTTCTAGGACGATAGCATGTCTCGGGATTCTTTAAGCTTTTCATCTTTTCCCTGGCAGGATTACTACTGAAAACTGAATCCTCAAAATCCCTCATAAAAAAAAAAAATTAACGGTAATGAGAGAAATATCAAGGTTTCTCAACCTAATTTTTATTTACTAGCAGTTTTTCCCTTTAGAATATACCGGTTCTACCTGTAAGCAAAGGCAATATCTAAGCTGGACCAGTGACATGAGCATGTGATAGACAGGTAAGTGCAAATATGTTGGGTTGTCTGAATACGACTGTTTTGGAAAGAGGGAGGAGGAGAATTAAAAAAAAAAAAGATAAAAAAGCCTTCAAAATGGTGTCAAATGAGTATCAAAACATTATTCCTTATGTGACCAAAACTAGCTTAACTTTGTGTATTCTTCTTAACCAAGCAATCCTACAGGAAGGAAGTACTAAATATAATTAATAATTCAATACATTAAAAGAGTTACAGTTTTTAAAAAAAAATGAATCCTCCAGATATTTTTGTCATTTTTCAGCGTTTATGTAATGGGTTACAAAAGTCATTACTCTTCCAGCTTAGGAGCTGACAGACAGATGTTAGCCAAAATGATTTATTGATTTGAGACCTCACCTGCAAAAATAAAACTGCTAAAAATGAGTGCAGAAACCAAAAATATATATACCTGATAGCCATACAAATACACCAACAAATAATTCAAATTTTCTAATCATACCTGAAGTCAAAAGATTAGTACGTTTATAGCAAACAGTATTGTGTAAAATTCTAATATGTAAAAATAATTGTCAGAAAACTTTTTCCCCTCACCTAGAAAGGGTTTCTAAATGCCAGTCTTCAAAAATGCAGATAAATATATGATCTGAGCATTACAAATCCTAACTTTATCTCAAATAAACCTAGTTATACTAAATCGGCAAAATGAAAAATTTTAAGTTACAGAAGAAACCAAATTTGTATGGAAAGTTGAGTTAAACACAAAACCCATCTGAAATACAGCAAACAAGAAAACTTTTGACAATGCTATTTCGAGTTCTTTTGACAAAAACTAGGTATTATTTTCCTAGGAGCTTTTCCATTTGGAAAATTTTGCATTTTTAAATATAAAAATAGCCAAATACATATTTTCCTCACTATCCTTCATAACCTGAAAAGGTCTAAGCAGCTTAATATCCAGAAAGTTAGCAATTCAAAGGTAGAAAACAGCTACATGCTCAGAATTCTGAGGACACTGACGATACGGTATCATCTTTGCCAAGTTGTTTTAAATACTGTACTGTTTTCTAATTTTGTATTTTTACTTAGCCAAAGTCTGTCCAATTATCATGATTACAGATTTTAATCTCTTCAAATTGCTACATGCATTAACATTCAAGATGACACTGAAAGCAGAAAAACACCACTTCCAAAATATGCAAGTAACAGTTCACAAAGTATCTAACACTGAACACTGCTTATCTTTATCCACAGCTTACATCTTTGCCTTATACACAAGTTTTCCTTTTATTAGGAAAGTCTTAATAAATTATGACCCGTTATTAGTTTACCCCCCCCAGCCAGTAGAAGGACTAGTACTTGGTGAATTCCATCACAAGAAGGAGGGGGAATAGAAAGATAAAGAAGCATTCCACCTTCTAGGCACAGTATTTTATTTCATGGAAGTCTTAAAAAAAGTTTGTCATCTGCATTGCTTTGAGTGCACTTTTGATAATATTTCGGGGTGGGACAGACCATGACTTGGTGTAGACTGTCACGCTAACCAGACTTCTATTTTTGTCCCATAAAGAAAATATTCCGGTGGACAAAACACCCGCATTCCTTTGGGATGCTCCTAAAATGTAAAATTGGACTCTAAAACATTTCAAGTACAATATAACTGAAGAAAATTAGTTCTCCCCAAATTGAAGGTACATTAGACAAAAAGCTTTGTGCACATGCTCCTTTTTACACAACAAAGAAACAGTTTTCTGTACTGGTAAGAACTTCAATGACTCGCATGTATTGATGCACCAATCAAAATTACTAAATTACAGTCCCTACCACATTAACTTAAGAGATTTTTCTCTTATTTCTCTCAAGTAAAACTGGCTGTTACATCATCCAGAGCAAAATGACAAAACCACAAAGAGGATTACCATTACTACACAGTTACTGAACCACTGAGATTGTATTAGCTTTGTGTTGGAAAACTGAGACAAGTATATTATACTGGTAAGTTAAATCAACGTGGTCATGACAGTGATATTCATTGCAATATCACTACTTTAAAATTCCCTTCAGTTTTGCTTTGGTCATTCTGTATCTCTAACCTCAATCCCCATCTCGATCCCCTATACTAATTCCTCTGTAGAATGAAAGAAAGGCTTTTTCCTCCCTGCAGTATTGAGGAACAAGGAAAGTGAAGCAATGAGAAATCTGAGAACTTCATGCACATCTCCGATAGACATGCATCATGCATAGGGCAAAAAAGCCAACAGTGAAAATGCGTGAGGAGGAGATGGGAAGAAATCTGAAGTTGTACTGTACCACGCTTTATCACAGAAGTAATGGACTAACTTCTCAACTCCTTGCCAATGGCATAATGGGAAAGCAGAGACAAGAAAAAGACAAGGACAATGATGTCAGAGGACCAAGACAAAACAATGAGCAATTGCCATGACAGAACTGCAACTTTTCACCATTTAAATTGCAATTACCATGTCCCCCATTGGTTTTTAATCCACCTTCCAGAAACAAAGGTAGCAACAGTGTTTAAGTAATGCAGTATAAATAATATTTATAGCAAGACCTACACGGAATACCTTTGCTCTTATAACTTGAAATCTTTTAACACAGTTAATCTCTAACACTTCAAATACTGTTTAGAGCTGTAACTACAATTTGTGTGTATGATTACAACTGTATACATAAAAAACATTTGCATCCATGCACATACATGTTAGATACCTAACAATGAACAACAATGTCATAAGATACACTGTCTTACATATTTTGACCATGTTGCCCATACTGTACAACAACCCATCTTCCTAGCAACTCACTCATGAGCTTGAAGAGATTCCAAACTACCATGGTTTCTTTTTTTTTGGGGGGTGGGGGGCATAGGGGGAACGGGGAAACACCCTGCTACATAAGTTTTTCATTTTCTGATCAGTTCTCACATCCCTTATCTCCCTGCCTCGGCACAGGATAAACTGTCATTTCACCAGCCTTCATTTGAAGACACAGCCTTACTGAAAGGCTACACTGGAAAGCTCTCATTTTCTACCTCTGGAAAACACCAAGATTTCACATCTTAAATCTGTAGCATTTGCCAATACACCCTGCTACATAAGTTTTTCATTTTCTGATCAGTTCTCACATCCCTTATCTCCCTGCCTCGGCACAGGATAAACTGTCATTTCACCAGCCTTCATTTGAAGACACAGCCTTACTGAAAGGCTACACTGGAAAGCTCTCATTTTCTACCTCTGGAAAACACCAAGATTTCACATCTTAAATCTGTAGCATTTGCCAATACCTTCATTTTAGATATTTCTTTTCCCCCTCCCTTTTAGCTAGCTATATTATACCTATATTTCAGCATTGTAAAATAGGATTCCACAGTATGGAGTATGACTTCAAACAATGATGCAAAACAACACACTGTACCCCCCCTAAAAAAAAACCCCCCCCCC